TTAATACAATCGGGGGAATCGCCCTTTGAGGCTGTAAGCTGCTTTGTTTTTACACAACGCACTTATGGCTGCTTAAGAAGGAAAAAGGCTTTGGAAATGTTTGAGTGAATGTGTTTGTGTTGATAATGTTTAATCTGTTGCTCTAACTTCCTGTTTGTCAACTAAAGACAAACTAAATGTGTGTTATGTGGATAGAGGCTCTGATTGTAACACCAGCTCTGTGTTTCTGTTCAGACTGAGCACTCAGGTCGTGCAGACGCTCGCCATCATGTTCAGAGAGATGGAAGTGGAACCAGCCAGACTCAGCCTGCTCTCTGCCAAAAAGTAATCATCCCACCTGTCCTCTGATTGTTTGAATGCTTTCTCCTTTCAAACTTTAATGGTTAAATCTGGTTTCTGCTTTTAGTGTTTTTTTGTTTCTCTCCCTGCAGAGGTGCTCTGGCCTCCAGAATGCTGCTTGCCTTCATATGTGATCCAGAGCTACAAACACAGAACCAAAGATCTCTGGGTGACTGTGAGGTGAGCTGCTCTCCACTCACATTAATATGATTATTTATTATTTATTTCATCTGCTTTAAGCCGTCTGTCTCTGTCAGCTTCAGGCCTTACTAGCTGAGTATCTGGACGCCGCCTGCTCTCTGCTCTTTGAGCTGCTGCTTTTAGGCCACGAGGTGAGTTGTGAGAAAGAATAGTATCAGTAACAATGTTAACACTGTGCTACATTACAGAGAAATACAAAACCGTACTAATGAACCTTCATTAATATAGGCCTATATTTTATCTCCAAGTGCACGTCACACACTGAGCGAGCCGCCTGTTAATGACGCTGTGGGCTAATGGGCATGTAGCTACTTCCATGTTTCAGATGATACGTCATGTTTGTAATCGACCAATGAAGATGAGTTTACATATCACCTTGGGTTCGTCCTTCACCTTCTCAAAATGATCCCACACTTTGGATTTCCTGCCCGACATGTTATTAACTAGCCTGTGGAATAACCGCAGGTACCAGCCCTGGAAATTAACCTGACTCCTGTCTGACTGCTGAGCGTGGACACTTCCTGTATCTGTCCTTTCAAATTAAATTTACACATGGTTTTTCAAATTACAAAAATATTCTTATCTTGTTGCCAATCTTTGGTCTGACCTGGGCTTAATCATCTGAGTGAAGCTTAAAGGGATAGTGCACCCAAAAATGACAATTCAGCCATTATCTACTCACCCATATGCCGATGGAGGCCCTGGTGAAGTTTTAGAGTCCTCACATCCCTTGCGGAGATCGGCAGGGGGAGCAGCTAGCACACCTAATGGTAGACGGCGCCCCAGACTAACATCCATGAACACAAAATTGAATCCACAAAATATCTCCAACATGCTCATCCGTAGTGATCTAAGTGTCCTGAAGCCCCGACATAAAAAGTTGTTTGGATAAACATCATATGAACTCTGTTTTTAGCCTCACTGTAGCCTGTAGCTCTGACTGCTTCTCTGTGCTCTGCGTTCACGTGTGCGCGCCTGCGCGAGACCAGCGAAAGCATGAGCTTTGTTCACCCATGTTTACATCACGTGACACGTGCACCGCAGGGGGAGACAACAGTAACCACAGAGCTAAAAGATAATTTGCACTACGGTCTTTTAGCAAAGGACAGCCCAACATGTCTGAAGACTTTGAAATTGAGGAGGAACAGCATTTCTTTGTTGAGCCGTATTTGTTTGAGCCCGAGTATACGGACGGAACTCAGGCTACTGGACGAAGCAGCCGCCGCAGCTCATGAGCCTAACCCTCAGCCAGCCGCAGAATACCGGAGTCGAGCACTGGAAACCTGGTGGTGTAGTTGTTTCAAATGCAAAGCAATGCCAACGGATGAGGAAAGTCTTTGCTGCTCAGACTGGGAATTGGCGATGCCTGCACTTGAGAATCTGGACATCAGTACTGACGAGACTGCTGCTCTTCAGAGACCATGCATCACCGATCACCCTGAGCGCGCACACGTGAACACGGAGCACAGAGAAGCAGTCAGAGCTACAGGCTACAGTGAGGCTAAAAACAGAGTTCATATGACGTTTTTCGAAACGTTTTTTTATGTCGGGGCTTCAGCACACTTGGAACACTACGGACGAGCAGTATGGAGATATTTTGTGGATTCAATTTTGTGTTCTTGGACGTTAGTCTGGGGCGCCGTCAGCCATTAGGTGTGCTAGCCGCTCCCCCCGCCGATCTCCGCAAGGGATGTGAGGACTCTAAAACTTCACCAGGGCCTCCGTCGACATATGGGTGAGTAGATAATGGCTGAATTTTCATTTTTGGGTGCACTATCCCTTTAAGTTTGCAGGTGCAGGGAAGTCGGCCTGTGCTGTCACACGTTAATGCAGATTTCCTGACTTTCAGGCCTCCAGATGTTCCTCCGCTGAGAGCTTCTTGACCGTTGGCTGGATCCTCGGAGTCCTGCAGCCTCATCCTGACCTGGTACACTTCCCTTCAGTGACAGACCTTTCTGTTAAAGAGGAACATACTGTCCAACTTGGAGTGTCAGCTGCGTTTTGGGTATTTCAAACTGTTTATAATAGACGCCATGTGCTGTAAAGTTAGAACTGGTCTCCTCGTCTCTCTGCAGCTCCCCTTCCTCAGCTACCAGGCCCAGCAGGTGGTGCTGGTCTTGTCAGACCTGCAGGAGTCCTCTCTGACTCCAGTTCAGTCTGTGCTGCTGTACCAGCGCTGTCACCTCCTGCTGGCCTGCCTGCGGCACAACAACCAGCTGGCACAGCACCTGCGGTCCCACTTCAGAGAGGAGTTCAGGTCTGTGCTGCTGCTCTTCTCTGCTCAGGGTTCAGGAGGGTAATGAATGAGGGCTGAGCTAGGAATAAAAAGTAAAGTTTGCCAGTGATGAAATCCATATCAGCTCAGCGTTAACATCAGCATTTTATCTACTGTCACAAAAATAGGTTGAGGTGTTGTGGAAAGCAGTTCTCAAATCCTTTTAAAATATGAAAAGCAAAGTACAAGTTCCTTAAAATTGTAATTTAGCTCAGTACTTGAGTAAATGTACTTAGTTATGGTTAAGACGAGACCATCACAAAGGGTCTTTGTGTCCTCCCTGCAGGTACTTTGTGAAGCTGTCACGTGCCGAGGAGAAGCTGCTGCCTCACTATCCAATCAGCCAACCAACTCTTCGGCTGGTCGAGCAGATCCTGAACCTGCACAGATGATGACACACAAACCAGGTGCTTGTACACCTGGAGACAGGACTGTGACAATGTGTGTGCCTTTACCAAAGTCTGAGTGAGTTTATGTTTGGAGCTGTTTGACCACCGCCATGAACCAAGCTCTAAATCTGCTGACGATTCCAGCAGACTAAATAAAACTACAATGTGTGTACAACGTGTGAACTGTAATGCTGTACAGAGTAGAACTCTTCTTCAGGTTTCATGAGCTAAATGCTAACACCACTATGCTAATGTTTAGCAGGTATAGTCCTTACGATGTTTAGCATATTAGCACTAAAACAAACATTCCTATTGTATGAACGTTTGTCCCTGTATGCTCAGATTCTATCTTTGTGTGCATTTGAAATGTAGATGTGTGTGTGTGATGTTTAACATGTTATGTGCCAAGAGTCCTCAGGTGATGTGCACTTTAAATTAAATTTATTTGGACACAGTCATTCAGCACTGAAGGTTGAACCTAGCTCATCTTTTGCCACAACACACTGTGATGCTGACATCCTCCAAAGTGGCCGATCATACTCATGCAAGCGTACATTTATGGTGCAGTGACCACGAGATTGTCACAACCATAGATGAATCTATCCGTCCATCATTGTTCACTTAGCCAGGGTGAGGTCACAGGAGCAACAGGGTAAAAGCCCCTTTACCACTTGACAAAAAACTCCACTAACATGTGGCTTTTGTCTTTAATGGGAAAGGTAAGGCACAGTAGTCACAGGTGTTCATTAAAAATATGACACCTGGGTGGCCTTGCAGACTTTCGTCCCTCTTCTGAAGCAAAGCAACGACAAGCTGCAACAAATTTCGTCTCCGTCCAAGCAGCACCTGACCAACGTTCCAAATTAGTTGCCAACTAAGTTACAGAGTTTAAGCAACTGAATAAATAAGATATAAAAAACAATCAACAGTAACATTTCCACTGCCCTTCATACCACTTTCTACTCTTTACTAACCTGTGCATTTGTGAAGTCAACCCTGTCACTCCCAGCGTTTCCCACACATTCATTTACTCTTGGCGCATCATCACAGTATCAGCATTTGCAGCCACGCAGATTGTTTTTGGAGCTGCGATTCTGTTTATCATGGTAGAGCGTACGGACAAAGCAGCAAAGGCACCAAGCTCAGTGAAAGTGAAACTTAACGGTTTGTTAATTTATGTAGTTTTGGTGTTTGGTGTCCATTGTTTTTCCAAACTACTTAAGATGAAACCAGCTGCGTTGCCACGGAAATAGCGCAACCCACAGTCCAGGGCTTGGTCTAACCAGCAAAATGAAGTTTATCTTCACACGCCTCTGCAGCTGCTCCTCTAATCAACTGATCTGATCTGTCAGACTAGACTGGTGGGACGTGCCCAGAAACACCTCTAACAGGAGGAGCCCAGATAATCTCATACAGAGATCTACCTTCTGAATCATCCCTTATGACCCACTCTCAGTGTGTGGCGGCACACACCTCTGCCTGTATGTTATTATTACCTTCTGTGTTTAGGGTGTTTATAGGCGTGTAGCCCCACAGTACTCAGATGAGGTTGTGTTATCAAAAAAATTGTAGACCTGGTGCCAACTGTACGTATCAAAGAGACAAAGCGCCAAAAAAAAGCAAATGTAGAGAGGCGAAACGCCAAACCAGAGATAATCATGTGTTGGATTTTAGTTTTTCTGTCACTGGCGAGGCTGTGTACAAACCGTAACTGACAATCCTACATACAGTAGTACACTTTAAAATCATAAACCAAAAATAATCTTATAAGAAATAAAAGCAGGCTGAAGCATTTCGAAAGTTGATTCATTTAATTAGTGTACAAAATCTTGATTTATGAAAAAAGGCCATTTAACATTAAATATACTAAAATATTTCTATAATAATATATATGTACAGTATAATTTATGATGAAATTATTTTTCTTCCATCCATCCATCCATCCATCTTCATCTGCTTATCCAGGGTTAGATTGTGGGGGCACCCCAGACGTCCCTCTCCCCAGCAACACTTTCCAGCTCCTCCTGGGGGACCCCAAGGTGTTCCCAGGCCAGATGAGATACTGTATGTAATCTGGGTCTGCCCTGGGGCCTCCTACCAGTTGAACGTGCCCAGACATTACACAAGTTAATATTACTGTCACATGTAGCCATATCTCAAAGGTTGATGTGGCTTTGTGGACACAAATTAGTAAAATCACAGATAGAATTTGACCAAAACAATCAACCTAGTGTGATCATATATTCTGTGCACTTCAGTTCATCAGAAGAAAGGCACATGGTCCACTTAGTGACGAACCAATAAACATGTCGTCATGTTCAGGTTGTTAACATGACCTGTTTTTGTTTCTGGAATTGTTTACATCTTGGCATGGAGGGTTGGTCTGGCGTAGAGATGCTGCTCCAGAAAACCTAAGATCTTCTTCCAGGAGTCTTCCTGAGCGTCTGAGTGGGGCTTGGTTTGTCCTCCCCACGCCATTACAACTGAAACATGAATCAGAATGGGGAAGGAAGGTGATTTAAGTGACTTTGAACGTGGCATGTTGTTGGTGGCTACAGCAGCAGAAGACCACACCAGGTGCCACTCCTGTCAGCTAACAACAGGAAACTGAGGCTACAATTCACACAGGCTCACCAAAACTGGACAATAGAAGATTGGAAAAATGTTGCCTGGTCTGATGAGTCTGGCACAGACTCTTTCTGCTGCCACATTCAGATGGTAGGGTCAGAATTTGGCGTCATGGATCCATCCTGCCTTATATCAAAGGTTCAAGTTGGTGGTGGTGGTGTAATGGTGTGGGGGAGATTTTCTTGGCACACTTTGGCCCCTTAGTACCAACTGAACATGGTTTAAACACCACAGTCTACCTGAGTATTGTTGCTGACCGTGTCCATTTCACACTTTAAGCCCTAGGCGCCTTGGGCCCCGAATGGTCAGCTTATGATTTGACCACCAAGGGGCGTTTAAAGCGCTAAGGGGTGCTGGCATTCAACTCCCTTCTTTGTGTGACACTGTGTGTATGAGCACAACTCACTTATCTCATTTGTGTCCATTTTTCTAAAATTAGTAACTCTGAAGTGAGGCGTATAGGGCGGCTCAATCAGGTGTCCGGCACCGGGATATTCAAGTCTGGTCAGCAGGTGTTCGTTCCCTGCAGCACGCATCAACTGGGCCATCTGAGGGTCAAAGGTCAAATCAAAACAGCACAAAATGAATTCACATCAGTGGGGCTCAGGTGACCAGGGAAAGGTCACCTTTATTCAGTTAAGATGGCAGCTACTGAATATACGATGCTATGCCAGCTACTAAGAACTACTGTTTTATCATGTCAGCTCAGCGTAGTGTGAGAAGTAAATCTCTGCCAAAATTACAATACTGCTAAACTGCATTAAAGGCATGTGTAACACAGCTTTAACAATTAGGCAAATTATCGATTAGTTCATTAACAGAAAATCAATCTGCATCTATTCATAAATCTACAGTGTCTTATAGTGTTAATTTATTGTCAGCTGTGTGTACTCACATCCTCAGCACACTCCGCCACTGGCACGTTCAGATCATCAAGGCTGTTAACCATCAACACTGGACACTTTATTTTCCCCACCTGGAAGAGAATTTATTAGTCACCAGTCACATTACTGGTTTCATGACTCTGACACAGCTGAGCCAATCACATTGGTGTTAGAAAAAGACAAATAACCACAAAAGTAGGGCCCCAAGTCAGATATTTACGTCCAAAAGTTGGTTGTTAAACAGGCCTCAAAATACTTATTAGTATGTCATTCCTAAAATGTTGAGGCAGAGGGTACTGTCTATAGCTCTGGTTGAGGGCGAGAGGCTGTCAGCAGATAAACTGAGATCTGTGTGGGTACATGAGATGCTAAAAAAGAGGGTTGAACACAAGGAGTACCACCAGTTGGTCCAGGAGTTTCTCCTCCATGATGGCCACTTCCAGACATATGTTAAGATGACTCAGGGGCAGTTTGACAACCTGCTGTCTATCATCGGGCCATATAGCTCTGGGTATCCAGCAGCCTCTACCACCAGTTTCTCCTCCATTGTTTACCAACTGTAAACTTGTTGTCGTGACCACCACAGAGGGCCCGTCTCTTAAATCATCTGATTGGACAACAATCGGATCAGTGCAGAAACGTGAGGCGCGTTGCAACACAAAAACAGCGAGCAAAAAGTTTCATTCTCATTAAAAACAATTACAAAAAGCCGCCTCCAGCTGCTGAAACGCTTTCTGTGTGATCAGGGCCTTAGCTTCTTCATTACTCCTATATCAAATGTTCAAACTGCTGGAGATAATGTGGGTTCTCCGATGCCAACCATTGTCACATATTCTGGTCTTGTCCATTGTTAATTTCTTTCTGGCGGGAGGTTCGTACAGTTCTGCAAAAAGTATTCTAGGTGGACTTTACATTTAACCTACAGATGTGTCCTGTGTGATCAAGTAGAAGATGAACTGATCTCCAAAAGGCATGGACATTTTAAGCTAGGTCAGTGTATTATCTTTGTTTTGTAGAACACCCCAAGACATTTGAGCTCTCAGACAACTTTTACAGGGTCTCAGACTTTCATTAGCTTGTTAGGGCTCTGGCTTGTTCACAATCATCATTAGGAAAGGCCAGGTGACGCAAATTTCAAAGAAATATTCTGACTCCTGAAACCCTGTCCCAACAATCAGAAGTAACAGATGCCCACAACACACGAGAAGACTAAAGAAGATAGCAATGTGTTTTTTAGGGAGCTGTTTCCTCAGTTCTTCATGTCATTAAGAAATGGCAGTTGAGTTGAGGTCTGGAAGACCAAGAAAACCTTCAGAGAGAGCTGCTCATAGGATTGTTAGGCAAATCCAAACCCCTGTTTGACTACAAAAGACCTGCAGGAAGATTTATCAGACTCTGGAGTGGTGATGCAGCCACACCTGTACAAATATGACCTTCATGGAAGAGTCATCAGAAGAAAACCTTTCCTGTGTCCTTGCCACAAAATTCGGCGTCAGAATTTGCAAAGGAACATCGAAACAAGCCTGATGATTTTTTTGACTGATAAAGGTAAAACAGGACTTTTTGGACACAATGAGCAAAGGTATGTTTGGAGAAAAGAGTAACACCTGTCCAACTGTTAAACACGGGGGTGGATCGGGCAAGCTTTGGGCTTGAGTTGCAGCCAGTGGCACAGGGAACATTTCACACGTAGAGGGAAGATTGGATTCAGTTAAATTCCAGCAAAGTCTGGAAGCAAATATCACCGCATCTGTAGAAAAAGCTGAAGATGAAGAGAGGATGGCTTCGACAGCAGGACAATGATCCTAAACACACCTTGAAATCCACAATGAACGACCTCAAGAGGCATAAGCTGAAGGTTTTGCCGTTGCCCTCACAGTCCCCTGACCTAAACATTAAAAATCTGTGAACTGACCTCAAACAGCAGCGCGTGAAGATGGCCCAAGAATCTCACAAAGCTAAAAGCCTTTTGCGGGAAGAATGGTCGAAAACCCCACAAACAAGAATCGAAAGACTCTTAGCTGGTTACAAAAAGTGTTAAGAAGCTGTGAGACTTGTTTTTGCTTCAGGTCCTTTTTCTTTTGTTATTTTGAAACTGTAAAAGATTCAAATTAAAAAGTAATTGTCCATAAAATATGTTCCATCTTTGACATCATGCCTTTTGGAAATCAGGTTGCCCTCTACTTGCTTAGCTACTCACAGTAAACAAAATTTGCCCAAAACTTTGCATGCAACATAGTCACATAGTCCTTGGTGCATGTGAAGCTGAGAATTACTTGCACAGCTAAAATGCTATGTCCACTATTAACGTGTACTTACATCCACTTTCATTGCGGGATTACTGGTGATTGGTAGAAACATGTCTCTCCATATGTGATGGTTGTTCTCATCCAAACGTTCCTTGTGGGCATTCCTGCCATCACAAGTTATTGTTCACATTGGTCAAACAGTGAAACTTCATGCGCTGTATTTATGTTGCTGACAGAATAACAGAATACCTAATGTACAGCAATCCACTGACTTCACTGAGTGACACTCCAGGTATATAAAGGTGGGTGCCGCTGACACAAACACAACAGCGAGGCTGAAACAAAACACAATGACATCCCCCGAGACACTGGATCTCCATTTGGTTCTGGCAGATGGTTCAACAGCCACATATTCAAAGCTCAAGAAACAGCAACTCCAAAATATTTTGCATGCTACTTACCTTGAAAACTCTGCTCTCAGCTGCCAAATAGATGGTCACAGTGGAGCCAAGAGAAAGACCAAATATTCCAACTCTGTCCGACATCACTTGAGGATGGTCCCTGATGATAGCTAACGCTGTCTGTGCAGAAGGAGATAACGGGAAATTAAAACCAAAAGGCGTGATCTGAGGTACACCAGCTGTTAGAGTGAGAGCTACAAAAGTCAAGTTACTGTATATATTTTCCCAAAACCCAGTGGCATGGTGGTGTAGTTGAGGATTTATCCCATGCAAAATAACTGCCCTAATGAATTTACAATAAGTTACTGTGTAGTAAAAGCGTCGCTGTAAAAGTAGAAGCACATACAGGTGAGTTGAAAAGGGCTGCTGCTGCTAACAACATTTTCTTTGCTTCCTTGCTTCTCATATTCCAGGAACCTGATGAAGCTTTGGGTTTTACAGGATTGAATATCAAACATATGGACTGCAGACTCTGAAGTTACAGTATGTTAATAATAATCAACACTAACCTCAAAATATTTGAACTCTTCTTCTGCTGACGTCTGCATACCAGCGCCGACATAATCCAACGCCAAAGTAATGTAACCATGGGACGCCAGCAGGGCCGAACGATACTCTATCAGCCCTCCACCACCTCCCCACATATCCAACAGTCCAGGGAAGGGTCCAGGACCTGAGGCACAGTGAAACTGATTACCAACCTGAGAGAACAGATTTTTAAGGATGATAAATAATAATAACAATATACTGGATTTATAAAGCGCTTTTCTGGATACTCAAAGACGCTTTACAAAAAAAAAAAAAACCAAGAACAAAACAAAAGGAAAATGAAAAATGAAGGGGGAGCCAGGTTGTGGAGGGCTTCAGGGGTCGTGATGAGGAGTTTGGAGTGGATACGCTGCGGGATGGGGAGCCAGTGGAGGTTATGAAGGACTGGTGTGATGTGTTGGAGTGTGTGAGAAGACGAGCAGCTCAGTTCTGGATATACTGTAGTTTCTTGAGGGTTTTGGATAAAGAACCAAAAAGGAGAGAGATGGACGGAGGCAGGCGAAGTTTTTGAATCAAAGGAGAGGGTTACCGATACCAGTGTACAAGATTCACAAGTCTCTTTAAATACCAACAAAAGAAGGATAAGATGAGGAAATGTGTGTGTGTCAGGTGATGCAGGTGTACCTGGAGGTATAAACAGGGTCCCTCGTACTCCTGTCTCTGAGATATTGATCCTCTGGACCCCTGGAGCCATGTACCACCTCTCTGTGAGTGACGAGGCCAGAGGAGACTGCTCCCTGAAGCCCTCAGTTACATGTCCGCTGTAGACGGAGATGCTGACCAGCAGGGGACTGCAGACATCCCTCTTTCTCAACCTGAAAAGAGATTAAAGGTGTGTTACAGAAGCGGCATCAAAAGGGACCTTGGGTCTGCAGCAGAGTTAGAGCGGGCTACAGAGGTCTGATAAGCTCACTTGTTTCTAACTTGAACAAATATTCGTAATTTATTTGCTTGTTGTTCACTACAAAGAATTAATAAGAGATCAGCTGTGAGGATTTTGTGCACAGCCAGCTGTATCTAATAAGTAGGGTGTCCCCGACTAAGAAGTTACATAGTTGTCTTGCCTGTCATCGACTGATAATCAAATAATGCTTTTCCTGCCTCTGTGTAGGCGATAGTTGTAGCTGGAGGGATTATGTTCTCCAGTTGTCCCATTCTCATTAACACTGTATCTCAAGAGCTCCTTGAGGGAATTCCTTAGTTATAGCACAAATGTTCACTTGGACTCAACGATGAACTGATTAGATTTCTGTGGTCAAAGGTCAAGGTCACTGTGACCTTGCATCCATCTTATTCTCTTGAATGCGTATCTCAAGAACACCTTGAGGGAACGTCCACTTGGACTGACAATTAAGATGATTAGAATTTGGTGGTCAAAGGTCAAAGGTCAGTGTGACTTCATAAAACATGTTATTGGACATAACTTAATAATTCTTTCGCTACTTAGGACAAAATTTCACACAAATGTCAAAGAGGATAAATGACCAAGTGATGACATTTTATATCCAAAATGTCAAAGGTCAGCTTCACTGTGACATCATAATGTTCTGCAAAATACCTCCTAAACTATACTATAATTATAAGAGGAACTTGACTGATGTGTGGAGGCATACAACCATGGGGCGCTAATTCAATTTTTTTTTCTCATTGATTTTATATTATCATATATGACATCGTTTCCCCTTTCTCGAGATCAGACAAAAGAGCTGAAACACCCAACTGAACAATTTGTCTTCCTAACTTGGCATAAGAGCGGATTTTATAATTGGAGATATTTATACAGCGCTTTTTGTTGTGTGTCGAGGGTGTGTGTGTGTAGGTGTAGCAGTGCCCCTGTTCACAGCACTGAAAGGGAGCAGAGGGATCAACAGAGACAGTCACAACATGTCAGTCTGGTTCCTGCTTGCTTGTTTCCATGGCTGTAAACAGAACTTTTGACTTTCTCTTAGACAGAGAGCCGTTCATAAGTTAAAAAATTATTCAGCGCTTTGCGAGAGCCACGTCAAGTGAGTGCTTCTATTAATGCAAGTATCCCAAAAAAGGGTTATTTATCATGATTTACTGGGAGAAACCAAGCAGTTCTATGTGAAATCAGAAATTCAGCACCCCATGTAGCCTGAATGGAATGATCCTTTGTTTCATACCCACATATTTCTGCAACTACGACAGTTCAACCAAGAGATTGGCGAATGACGAATTAGACTTCTTAGACTGAATCTTTGAATAGTTACCTGTTAGTGGTCACCCCTACTAATAAGATAGTTGTCTCATTGATCATTACAGAGATGAAGAAGATGATAAGATAAGAAGATAATTGTGTTATTGATGTCAGGTGATGCTGCCCAGTTCGAGTCTGCAGTTTTGCAGCGCACAACAAATTACCTTAGGCCTTGACGGCTGCCTGGGACGGGACGCATACTCCACAACAAACCCATCTGTTCTTTTCCTGTGTACGTGCCCCCAAAACTCAAATCCTCTGCAACTACAAAAGCATTAAAATGTCAACAAAATACACAAAACACCCAAGAAGCAAATTAGCTGTAAATTAAAGGACAAACAGCAAACATCTGAGGTCTTTTTGTGTCCAGCATGAGGCCACTTGTCCTCGCTGCACACAGCAGATTTCAGACATCAACACACTTCAAGATTTAAAAAGGAGGAGAACCCACCAGACACTCTTCCTCTGTGATCACCGACGTAGTGTCCGTAGGCCTCCCAGTAGTGCTTGTCCTCAGATTGATGGAGGGAGTGAAGTGTGACTGGAGATCCTGGAGGCAGGTTCTCCACCACCACCTTGAACTTCTCATCGACCAGAGCACGGGTGGGGTGAACAGAGAGAATCGGCGGAACAGTGTGGGACATGGTGGATAATTGGCTGTGGAGAAATGCAAGCACATGTGTATGACTTACAGTTTATCAAGTGGGATATTTTTCTGCATAACAAGTAATTTTATTTCTCATAATGCACGTTTATTTTGCTGTTAGTATTCTTTTGTAATACAGGACTTTTACTGGTAAAGTGTGTTTTTACAGTGTTGTATTGGTAGTTTTATTTAAGTATCTGAGTCCTTGCTCCACCTTTGACACACTGACAGCTTTATAACCATATGGTGAAGTTCAAAGTTCAGAGTCTGGTATTTCTATTTTGTTATATTTTATACTTTTATTAAACTACATTTCAGAGAGGATACAGTGCAGGATACCTCAAAAGCATATAAAGCAGTTAAAATCAGCTTTAAATTAACCAACTACAACATTAAAGTAGCAGTTACATGTTAATTCTTTAATAACAATCATATAATTTGATACTAACACTGACAGTGAGTATTTTTTACTTACGATACTTAACATTTTGGTTCAAATACTTTTGTACTTGGAGGACTTTTACTTGTAGTGCTGTGCTTTTAAAGTAGCTAACTTAGCTTTCCTATGTATCTTGTTAGTAGAGTGTTATGTCAAAGTATGCCAGCACCAACCAGCAGCCGGTATGACAGATACCAACGTTACACTACTAACGTTACTGTGTAATATTAAGTACACTGACCTCAGCTTAACTTCCTGTTAAACTACAACACTTGACACAGTTTAACAAACTTCCATCCAGTGCTGCATTTTTTTTCTCCACAAGGACACAACAGCTCTTGCTACTTATTATTTTTTAATACGCTTAAAGCACTTTTGTTAAAATGTCAACCCCATGATTATTTACTTTATTTTGTTAAAAAAAAATTGTCCTGTTTTCTTGTCCTGTTACTATTTGTTAAAACTGTTGTTGAGATGTATACAATGAATCTACACATAGAATGGAAATGTGTATGTATACATATTCATTTAGGTGTTGTGAGCTTGTAATGTTTCAGATGCAAGCAAATGTTTCCTTTAAGGAATTTTTGTAAATCGAAATGTGAAATAAAGTTAAAAAAAAAAAAAACAGCTCTTACTACTTGGTAGTTTAGCCTAGCTTAGCTCCACTAAAGATAGTATTTACGTGCCTGAGCGTCAAACCGCCGTTTAAATACATCTCTGATTTATAAAGTGTTGTTTAACAAGATATTTCTAAATAATTACTTCACCTTACCGAAGTCAAGCCCACGCATGAACAGGTTTTTCAGGAAACGACTGAGATTTCCCAGGATAGCCTCGTAAATGGACAACAAACGGTTTTGTACTTAACAGAGCGAAGGCATGTCCCGCCTTCCTCCCCCTCTAATTGGCTAGAAGTTGTTCACTTCCTTGGTTGGATTGGTTAGGCTGAGGTAAGAGGAGCGGGATTGGTTGGGGAAAGAATGTCAGAGTAAGAGCCAATCAGAGGCAGAGCAAGGCAGTAGAGATGGGATTTATGGCTCTTTGAGGGGAGCCGGATCTTGGTGAGCCGTTCCTTTCAAAGAGCCGTTCAAAAAAACTGGCTCATTTGACTGATTTTTATATTTATTAAGTTTTAAGAAGCCAGCCTGGTGGTAACTCATTTTATCTTGGAAATAATCACTAGGAGGTATGATGGGGTAAGATATGGAACAAAATAATACAAAATTAAATATCCCACCAATATCTGAGTTTGAATTATTCTGAAATATTGATTATAACCTCATTTGACATGTGTGGACTAGATTTTAAAGTCTGATCTGGATTCATTGTAAATATTCCACAAGGTTGCGCCACATCACTCTGCTTTGACAGTGACATCACTATTTTGGATTTACCCTTTATACAGACTGTTTGTATGTGTGTAAAGCTACCATGACTTGTTATTCATGCAACACCGTGACCTTAACACTTACAAATAAACATTAAAAAACAAAGCAGGCTACAATGAATTTTGCTCAGGGGAGGAGCAAAGGAGGAGCACACAGTGATATTAAAAAAAAAAAAAAAAAAAAAAAAAAGGAACGGTTCCCAGCTGCGACTCGGTTCCCATCGTTCATGTTAACGAGCCGTTCAATAGAATCGGTTCGTTCGTGAACGTCACAACACTACAAGGCAGAGGAGGGCGGGTCATGCCTTCGCTGTCCCGTTTCTAGGACAACAGCTTTGGTCCAGTGCAGAACCGTAAAGTAGACTGAAAACATGTCGATGGTTTTTGGTTTCATATTCCTTCTAAAATATTTGAAAAATGTGGTGGGATGGATTTTCTGTTAAGATGTGACTTCTGTATAACCAAGCTACCAGTTAAGTTGTCCAAGTTTCATCAGCAGGTCCTCCTGTACTGGAAACTAATTTATAGTCATAACTTTACCCCACACTCTGTTCCCATCTGGAACAACAGATGTATCTTGTCTAGAAAAAAAATCCTTGTTTTTTGATGACTGGGTAGAGAGAGGTATTTGGTCGATTTTGCACTTAATGGATTCAAGAGGAAACTTTCTTGACTATGATGATTTTGTTAATAAGTTTAATTTGAAATGTACTAAACAGCAACACTCAGTGGTGATCAAAGCGATTCCACAAGCTATGGTGAACATGGTAAAAGGAATGTTGCTTTATGAGAATAGAATACCCATGATGCCGGCACTCTTTATAGACGATATTAATTTTATAGATAAAAAATGTACAAACAAAATTATACGAGGTGTCCTCACGTCTAATCTCTTCCCTTTATCATTAAAAAGGAAAAAACTGTTAAAAGATTATCCTGAAGAGAGTATAGTCAAAATTAGAACCGGATACCTCACTCTACCCATATCACCAAAAGCTAAAGAAACACATTTTAAAACCTTAAATGATATATATCCTTGTAATGAGTTTCTGAGACAAAGATTCAACATCAATAAAAACAACTGTACTTTTTGTGACTCTGACATTGAGACGTTAGAACACTCGTTTTTTAACTGTACTCATACCAGAGTGTTTTGGGAAGCTTTCCAAGACTGGATATCTTTAAAGGACAATCAATCGCCCAAGCTGGAATACAAAGACATTAAGTATGGAGTCATAATACAAAACAAAAAACAGGAAATGATGTATAACAGTTTAATTATTATTGCAAAACAATTTATCCACAGATGCAGATTCATGAAGAACCACCCACTGTTCTTAGTTTATATGAATGAGATAACAAACTTTAAAAAAACACTGAAATGTATTAAAACCAAACAAGCCTTGATTGTTTATGACAACTTGAATGTATTAATTTCTGTTTAGACCTCTGACTTCTATTTCAATTATTTATTTTATTTTATTAATGATATACAGTACAGGCCAAAAGTTTGGACACACCTTCTCATTCAATGCGTTTTCTTTATTTTCATGACTATTTACATTGTAGATTCTCACTGAAGGCATCAAAACTATGAATGAACATATGTGGAGTTATGTACTTAACAAAAAAAGGTGAAATAACTGAAAACATGTTTTATATTCTAGTTTCTTCAAAATAGCCACCCTTTGCTCTGATTACTGCTTTGCACACTCTTGGCATTCTCTCGATGAGCTTCAAGAGGTAGTCACCTGAAATGGTTGGTGAAGAAAGGATTTCAGCCAAAATAAAGGAAACAATTAAGTATTCTTAGAACCATATGAGAATCATATAATTATGAGTTTGCATCTCTGGTGGAACTCACTTACATTTTAGTGTGCCATCAGCTTATTAACCTAACAAAGAAAAGCGGAAAATTTCAAGAAAAGCAAGTGTTGCTTTATCAAAATGTGGCAGATCAGTGTATGCAGATGAACACTGTTTGGTTTCCCTCCATGCTGCCAGCACCCAGGTGAAGCACTGCGGGGCCCGTGGGTCATAAGGCCCTCTCTTTTCCTGCAGCATGTAAAGTCTGAGCCATCTGAGGGTCAAAGGTCAAATTGAAGCACAAACTGAATTCACATCTGGAACAAAAAAGCAGAGGAAATCTCTGCTCTTCACTAGACTTTGACTTTTCCTCTACTCATATGAAGCCAGGGACAACAGCAACATTTAACAAAGGTAACGTTCCAAAATTCAGCTCCACTACAGCTCACAAGGTTCACTGACAAAACAACTGTCAACAACAACAAGTGTGTTATTTGTCTTGGCAGCACATCCCCTCTTTGATTTGTAGCTGCTCCTGGTCAGTCAACCCTAAACTGTGTTGAGCAGTGTTCTGGTGGGATAATATGGCACTATGAGCTCACTAAGATATGACGGAGCTTGACCATTTAGAGCTTTATAAATTAACAGTAGGATTTTATATTCAATTCTGGATTTTACAGGGAGCCAGTGCAGAGAAGCTAAAACAGGAGAAATATGATCTTGTTTCTTAGTTCCTGTTAGTACACGTGCTGCTGCATTCTGAATTAGCTGGAGAGTTTTTAAGGACTTACTAGAGCTACCTGATAATAGAGAGTTACAGTAATCCAGCCTAAAGGTAACAAAAGCGTGGACCAATTTTTCTGCATCTTTTCGGGTCAGGATAGGCCTAATTTTCGCAATATTACGCGGATGAAAAAATGCAGTCTGTGAGGTTTGTTTTAAATGAGAATTAAAAGACAAATCTTGATCAAATATTACTCCGAGGTTTCTTACGGTAGTGCTAGAGGCCAGAGCAATGCCATCTAGAGAAACTATGTCATCAGATAAAGAGTCTCTGAGTTGTTTGGGGCCAAGAACAATAACTTCAGTTTTGTCTGAATTTAACATCAGGAAATTGCTGCTCGTCCAGGTTTTTATGTCTTTAAGGCAGTTATGGAGTTTAGTTAATTGATTACTTTGTTCTGGCTTCATCGATAAATACAACTGTGTATCATCCGCATGTTACCTAAAGGCAGCATATATAGAGTAAATAGGATTGGTCCAAGCACAGAACCTTGCCTCATTGAGCCCAAAGGCCATGACACACCAATCTGGTAGTTGGCTGTCTGACAATGTTAGGTTGTTTTTCTCAGCGTCTGTTGCCCTCGTCTTTGCAGTGAGTCCTGCACCTTTGGCCCTTTATTGATTGTGCAACCTTCTAATCGTGTATGTTTTATTTTGCTTTTATGTACCTATTAAGTATGTTATGTTATGTTTTTATTGTGTATGATGCTGTCTGATTTCATTTTCCAGAAGGGTGCCCCCACACTAGGTTCAAACCAGGAACCCTCTTGCTGTTAGGCGAGAGTGCTAACCACCACCACCTCTTGAGTTTTCCCTGTATTCCATGTTCCTGCCTTTCTATGGCCTCGTTTTCTCTTTTAAAGTGTCTTCACTGGCGGCCTGCAGTCTTTGACAGAAACTGTGAGAGAGGTGTGATTCATCAATGAAAAATATTTGTAGTCTTGGGGAAGGTCAAAAAATAGAATAAAACTCACACCCCTCCTCGAATAAAAAAGAAAACAGTCCCTAATTGAAATAAACATTACAAACATTATTAGACCTAAGCATACTAGAATTGTTCCTTTGGTCTTCCATCATGGGTGATTTACAATGGAAAAAAGCTTGTTCTATTTAAAACAAAAAATCCATCAGAATTTCAGTGTTCAGATTTCTATTAATAAAAATTAACATTTCCTGTAAAAATTACAAATACGATCTTTCATTCACTTTCAGATATAAAAAAATGTGTAGTTGTGATGAAGAATTTCAATGGACGCAGTCTAAGAGGAGCATTAATAGGAATATTAAGAATTACACAACACTATACCTAAAATTAACACTGATTTTTTTAAAATGTTCAAAGCAGATACACCGCGCCTTCTTTTATTTTTTTTTTAATGAGTCTCCACTTTAAAATGCTACGATAAATACGATATTTTAAAGTGCGAAGCTGCGAAGCGGAACTTTAACTACTTCCTTTTTCGTCGGACCTGTATTGGTGTCGAACCGGAAGCAGCGTGAGGTTATCGAAGTCCGCTCTGAAGTGTTGCACCTGGTAAGTTTTCTAAACGCGTTTTTGCCCTTCTTTCAACGGATTTTGATGCCGTTTTCTGCCAAAACACCGCCTGTCGTATAAGATACTTTAACTTGAAAATGTAAAGGCGACGAGAAAAACGTTAATTTTAAATATTATATTTCGTGTCCACATCCGGCGGCGGGAGATCCCAGAAGCCTCGTTGCTGCAGTGAAAAAGCGCTGCTGTGACTTTGAGGCCGTGTTCACATGTTGGAATCTGAAGCTTGTCTGTCTGCAGGCTTACAGATAATATCTGGTAATATATATAATATCTGTTAATGTTTCTGTTTGTCGGTAACACGGCTCAGTTTACTGTAATCATGACGTAACATCAAATTACTCACTTGACAGAGCGTGGACATCTCTGTATGATAATAGTATTCACATGGGGCTCAGTAAAATAAAGTTACCTTAATGTTACATCATTTTTTCCTCTGAATATTTTTGAGTACTTGGTGTTAATGTCGGTGTTGTGCAGCTGCTGCCTGTGTGCTCTTCTCTTGCCTATAGACATTTGTACATGTAATTTTCTGCCTTTTTGTTGCTCAGATCGGTCTGTTAAAGTCATCAGAGCTGTCTGTGCAGCACAGACAAGATGTTGCGAAGCGCCTCAGCACAGGTGAGCAAGACATGATTATTAATAGACCACATTCATCCTGCTGTTTATAATGTGTTTCCTGAGCACTTTTAGCTTATTAATGAGACTTATTATTTATTGTATGTTTAAAGCAAAGCATCTCAGTTGATGAGACAGAAGGGATAAGAACACTTGAGTGCATGCAGGAAGATGCTCACTGGCTTTACAAATATTTTCTCTCTTCCATCAACAGTTATTCAGACAGGTGGTGAGATACAGGAGCACAGACGCCACCCTCGTCCTGGAGAGATGTGAGTAAACTTTGTGTTTTCTGGAAGACAAGGATGTGTTCATCAGTATCTATCCACTGTCTACTCGTTAGACTCTAATATCAGATAATGGGGGTCTTCTGTGTCTTTATTCCAGCGATAAACCGTGTGCAGCTGTTGGGCCGAGTGGGTCAGGACCCGGTGATGAGACAAGTGGAGGGTCGTAACCCCGTTACCATCTTCTCGCTAGCGACCAATGAAATGTGGCGGTCTGGAGACGGGGAGACAAACTCACCAGGTACAGAAAAACTACTGCGAGTTCTGTACAGTGAGGAAAAAACCAACAAATACACAAGAGTCTGTTTCTTTTCATTCATTTTGATCAACATAAGTACAAGTGGTAAAGACAGACAGAATCATTTTGGCTGAGGACGGAGGAAACTTTTGTAAACTATCTTCATGATTAAAATTAAGAACATTTCGCTTTCCGAACAGTTTCCCAAAGGCGACAGGTCACAACTGGTTATAAAACAAAAAGCATTTCTTATGATAATGAATGGGGAAATAAATGATGAAAAACAAATTGAATAATGATAAATAAAGTTGAAAGTGAGTTTACTACGTCCTTTGTCTCGACGGCATTCCAGTAGATATCTGAAACACATTTTCTATTGTCCCTTGGACGCCAGTATGTGACACAACAGATAAACATCAGCCACTGCCATCGGTGAATGTCTTATTTACTGATAGGCCAGTGGAGTCAACAAGGTGAATATCGGCCGATACCGACATGCGGCCAGTGAATCGGTTGGACTGGGATAAAATGCGCATGGCAGCACCAGGAGATGAAATACAAAGTGTACATACCATACTTTTCCCACTCCACATTTGTTGTCTGGGGTCACTGAATCTGTTTGTCTGAGCGCTCTGACCTTCGTCTTTTGACGCTGTGTTTCCCTCGTGAGACATTTGTCATATTATGTGCTGACTGGCGGCCAAGAGTTGAACAAAACAGTCTGTTTGTACTTAGGGTTGGGCTTAAATGTCCTCTGACATTTCAGTGTTTTTCCTGGAGGAACTTTTTAACGTTTCACACATTGGATGAATAAATGTTCTTATTATTATCTGAGAAAGCTGGAAACAGGGCTGATTTTCTGAGCTGAAAAGTGAATTTTTAGGTTTGTTTTCACAGCACAGTGATGATCCTTCCTGTAGAACATTAAAACCTAAATAAACCAGTTATAACCATTAATTTTTAAATGAGTTTGCTTCAAGGATAACGTTTTATTATAGTGGTAAACTTCAAGGGAACTTATTGTCATCTTTTACACTGACATGATGAAATGATTAAAGACAGCTGATGGACTGAAATATTACTAATTAAGAATAGCAGATGTTTAGATAATGTAAGAAATAATTACTGTGACATTAGCTGTAACATGTAGTCTGGTATCTGCCCCACAGGTGTTGTATTCTGCCACTAGAGGACAGCGTTACTATTTAATTCAGCCTCAGTGAGAGTGAACACATGATGGATTGTTGTTGATGGATTTCAAGGTTTTAAACAACACTACGCCGAGCATGACGTGAATCAAACCAGCAAAAAAGACATTCACATTAGTACAGTCTGTCCCTGAAGTACTCATCTCCAACCCTAATGCCTCGTTCATCATCCTCATTTAAAATTATAAATAAAAATACATGCTTTTAAGTCATCACAGACGGCCTTCAAAATGTTTCTGTTAGCATTAATTGAAAGTTTACAGTTCCTGTGTACAGATACTGATGGTGATTCTTTATTGGGAACAAACGCTTTAGATCACTGTCAACAGCAATAATATAATAAGCGGAACATTTAATAAAAAACAAGTTAACAAGATAATCAAACATTCTGTTTATACTATTATAATATGTTTATTTCTATAAATATATAACTTTAATTTAACAAGGAAGTCACATTGAGATAAAAAACCTCTTTTATAAGTGAGACGTAACCAAGACAGGGTCATCCAGCAGCACAAATACAAACAGGACAACACCAAATCACAACAGGGACCTCAGGTGTGTCAGAATACATCACATAATAGAGCAGTGGTTCCCAACTGGTGGGTCGAGGTCTGAAAGTGGGTTCCACCATGTCCATTCTGAATGGACCACAAGTGACTCGCAAACGTGTCAAGTTTGTAAAAAAACACACTATATTTTGAGTGCAGCAAATTTCCCGTATATAAACGGATCTCCTGTACCCACTAGCCTCGATCATGGGACAGTTTAAAGACATTGTTCTGAGGATTTAAGCGGTCCAGAGTTGGAGTAGGGGCAGAGAAGTTCAGCATTGTACTGTGGTGCCAGCACATATATGGCTTTAAAAACACACAAAAGAACCTTGAATTCAATCCTGTATTTGATAGGTAGCCTGAGATAGAAACTTTTGGCTTTGTGAAGTTGGAAATTTACCTGAATAGATCTGACAGACTAGAATGCACCAGTGTTGTAACCGAGGCAATGTGAGGAACGGCCATCCTACCATCCTACCTGTATAAGGTACAATGATGAGTCCTGAAGTGAGATAAAGTGATGTACCTCAGGGCTGAGTGATACAGGGCATCAAGCTGGACAGACAATAGTATCGCCAAAGTCAGTCTGAGACAGAAACAGGCCGGCAGCTAAAGGCAAGTTCACTTTACACGACTGGCCGACCAGTCTTGAGTCACGGAGACTCACATTATCTTTTGAGTGTTCATACCTGGCGACGTGTGCTTCTGTCATTGGGAGTCTCGCCAACTGCGTTACGACCTGTGTGTGCACACCACAAGATTTCTCCACCGAGCCCTCGCCAACAGAGCCCCAGATAACGCGGTGACGTCACCAAACTACATGTGAACAAAACAGGATATTATGAAGTTCCCCGGCGCTAAACTTTACTTGTCAACATGGCCTGGGTCCAAACACAATGCGCTCCCCGTGATCCTGTGGACGCTGCCATTGTTGTTGCTTGCCAGCTTGTCCTCACATTTCTTCCGTCCTCCTGCGTGCTGACGTGAGACGTATCCCGCCTCTCATTGGCTGATGCTCTTTGTCAGTCGTGTCACACTTCTCCAGTTTTCTAGCATGCCAGATATCCAGTCCCAGTCGCATATGAGGGGGCGACTTGCTCGTAGGCTTGTTCACACATGAGGACTCGTCGTGGCAGACTAACTGCCGACTCACCTCCGACCCAAGGTGGCGCTCAAGATCCTCCAAAAGAGTCTGGCTGCAGACCTCCAGCGTGAGGCCGCTTCCACTGCAGGCTCCTCTCTCAGGCTGCCTCGAGTGTCAGGACGCTCAGGACAGGAAGTGCACGCAAGAAACTTCAAAACAAAATTGCGTAGACACTTTCAGAGGAAGCGGCTTTGTCGCTGAATTATAATCAATTAAACAACGCTGTAATGCGAAACCATTCGTTTCTTAAACGTACATGCATGTGTATGTAATTTCTTAGATATACATGTTGATGTTTTTGTTTGCCTATTCTTTATTACATGGCATTTAACATGGGTGTAAGTCTGCCAGCAACATTATTGCAAAAAGTCAGCTGTCAAAATGGGTTATAAACTCCGCCCATATAGCTGCAGCTAAGTTCATAGAAAAACATAACGCTTGTCGACTGGACAGTTGGAGCCTCTCTTCCAGTCAAAAAACAAAAACACCTCTCATATATAATTTAATTTAATTTATATATAATTTACTTCTCATATATAATTTAATTTAATTTAATAATATGAAAATACAGAAAATTACAAATTTTCGTTCTGTTTATTCTGTCTTTTACTGAACATCATTAGTCCTCAATGTCACATTCGGAGTATGCCAAGTAACATCGTTTGTCAGCAATCTCCTCACAAACGATCCACATGTCTTCCATTTTGTAGAACTTGAATTTAAATGGCTCCAGGATCGCGTCTGTCTCTGTGTCATCAACCGTGGAACTTTCATCTTCAACCCTGAGTTTGTCATACTGCTGCACAGCCTCCGCCAGTTCCTCCTCTCCCACTGTGATCACACTGGGCAACTCCACCTTGTCTGAAAACAAGTGCTGGTTTGTTTCAACCCACTCTGCTGCCTTTTTACATTCATAAATTACCCTGGCCCCAACTTTTTATGGAGAAGACAGAGAGAAAAAGGTAGTCTTCCTATAGAAAAACTGCTGTACAATCAGTGCTATAAACTCTATTGTTCACGTAAAAATGACAGCACGTAGAAAGTAGCAAAAGGACACTTCAAAAGAAGCTTTTTGTCAGAATAACCTGAGTATAAAGCAGGGAAACATGCCGACACTTTGACTGACAAGCTGTGCAGTGTTCCACCTTATGCCCTGCACTTGTTTGAATAATTGAGTGATGCATCTACATAACACAGAAAAAAGTAATGTTAAGTTCATAGTATATATTTCAATTAGTAAAAGTATAAACCAAGTGAATCATAGCAAAACATTTCATGTTCATTTAGACAACAAATAACCTGAGCATCGTAGTCAACTGCTAGCCACCGTTAGCGTAACATATGTAACATTCGGTAATTTACGTGCGTAGAGCGGCTGGTAAAACGGCAAACATATGCAACCCGTGCATTTGTTTATTGGGATATATAAATTGCCATTGTCACTTACTGTCATGGTGGTTGTCAACTGGCAAAAGTCCTTCACTTGTAAGCAACTGACAAAAATGCCAGAGTCCTTTTGGAGATGCACAAAAAGTTTGTTATTTCTGGGCCTGACGCTGGAGGCGGCCTGAGAGAGGAGCCTGCACCAGAAGCGGCCTCACGCTGGAGGTCTGCAGCCAGACCCCTCTCAGATCCCCTGCGACGTCAAAATCACGGTGAAAATCGAACTGAACTAGGCTTAAGGCGATGTTACCTTTCAGTTCGGCCTACAGAAGAATGTCATCCCTGCAGCACTCTGTAACATGTCATGTCTGAGGCTGATTTCTCTGCGTCTGTTCTGTGACTCCAGGTGACATCAGTCAGAAGACGACATGGCATCGTGTGTCGGTGTTCAAACCTGGTCTGAGAGACGTGGCCTACCAGTACGTCAAGAAAGGGTACGACCCACATGTTCCCTGTAGGACTGCACCGTTAACACTTGAGTTTATTTATGTTTTTGTAACTGTGTTGACAGTATACAGTAGAGAGACAGAGGGATGACATGCACCACATGGTCGCAGGGGTGTTTGGTTTTGTGGTTGTCGTCTTGGACCGCTGCGTTCCTGAAAGTGAAACTCTATACTGAAATTATATTTCCAGCATCTTAAAGGTTTAAAGAGTGCCTGTACATGTTTAGTTTCCCTTCTTAAAGAACAGCAGCTGTGGAAAAAAATGTATTTTAAGTTACAGACGATTCCTGTGGTGACAAGTTTTCATTACAGAAATACAACCATCTATAAAAACTGTCCGTCTGTGTGTTTATGCTCTGTATGTTCCCGTCTAATTTAAGATGAACTCAGCTGCTAGTTTCAGTCGGTGAGGAAGCTACAAGTGTTCTGCACCACATTACAAAACATACAACATGAAAACATTAAATTTGGATTCATAAGAGACAGACACAAAGCACCAGGACGTGTTGGAAACCAAAAGAATATTTCTTAAGGAAAAGGGACCAACGACTAACACCTGACAGTGGCGTAACACACATTTACAGCCCAGATTATTATTTTCCTCCTTTTTATCATGTTATGTTTTTTATTATTTATTTAGGATTGTGGTTCTCAGAAATTTTTCAATTGACCTGAAGTTACAAGAGGTTGAGAACTCCTGGAGTAGAGGATCCTTCATGTCACTGATCACAAGTCTCTGTGTTTCAGGTCGAGGATTCTAGTTGAGGGGAAACTGGACTATGGGGAATATGTGGACAAGAACCAAGTCAGACGTCAAGCCACCACCATCATCGCAGGTCAGACAGCAAACACAAGGAGCTTCTATCAGATATTCACCTCTTTATGTGAATGTGACGGCAGTTGAACACGTCCTGTCTGAATAAGTGCTACTTTTAGATGAACGTCTTAAGTGGGATTTGTACTTGTGCGTCACAAATCAGCTTCACTATAACTCGCAGCATTCACAGACAAACACTTGTCTTTATCTGGACACATCTTCCCCACAAATACAACATGCTAATATTATTAGCACAAACCTATGGCATTTTACATTGTATAAATTAGCCTAGTGGCTAGTGGACTTTTCCTCTACTCATATGAAGCCAGGGACAACAGCAACATTTAACAAAGGNTAAATTAGCCTAGTGGCTAGTGGACTTTTCCTCTACTCATATGAAGCCAGGGACAACAGCAACATTTAACAAAGGTAACGTTACAAAATTCAGCTCCATTACAGCTCACAAGGTTCACTGACAAAACAACTGTCTTATACTAAACACGTTTTACAAACAAATACAACATGCTAACATTATTAGCACAAGCCTATGACATTTTACATTGTATAAATTAGTCTAGCAGCTAGTGGACTTTTCCTCTGCTCATATGAAGCCAGGATAAATCACACACAAGACTTAAAATGCTATTTTTAGCACTGTGTTTGAACCTCCGAGCAAGCAACCATAATAGCCTGGTCGTATCACTTGTTGTATAATAATTTATAAAACAAATTTTTTCCTCTCTCCCTCTTCCAGACAACATCGTCTTCCTGAGCGACAACGTCCGAGAAAAGTTCTGAAGCACCCTCCTCTACGTCTCCACCCACCAAGACAACTTTTTGTATTCTCCTGTTGGTATAAAACTAAAACTGAGGACCTGAATGCCACCAAATAGAGGAAGTGACTTTCCCAAAGAAAAGGAGCGGTGACAGAATACGCTGTAACGCTGGTCACGTGGTGCCTCCTGTAGACCTTGAGGCATCAGGAGAAGCAGAAGGAGCCCATGTGTAGTATAAATACACTCAGTGATTATGATTGTGCTACTTGTACATAAACATTACAAAGACACAGTTTGAGCCCTTTTGTGTTTACTCAAGTTTTAAGAAGTGGAAATACAGTGAGAGAGACTTCACAGTTGGAGGAGTCAGTACAAGATGTTGTAGAAGGTGTAGCTCTGTTAAGAGCAGCTCTTATTCCTGCTGAGGATCAGTAACAAGTTATTGTTGTCTTCTTTGTCTCAGTTGAGACTCTTTACTTTTTCTTCACATACTTTTTTTAAGAAGCATAGAAATACAAAAAAACAGTGGAACAATTGGAAATATGTCGCATAGACTCTCTAAACTCAGTAAATCACAAGTTGTTTCTTGTGAGAACTTTTCAAAGCCCCCTATTACATGTATGTGTTGGGGACTATTTGCAGCTGCAGATAAATCATGGGATTTGTCACCAATAATGAACACACAGATCACCAACAGATTTATCCCTCAAACAAATTAAAGTATTTGTTCCGTCTTGTACTCATCTGTCTTGTCTCTGTGTTAATTTTCAACTCTGCCATGCACTTCCCTTTATGCAAATCAATCATGACTGAAGGTTGTTAAACTGCAGAGAAATGTGCAGAACGCAAATTTAGTGGAAGCACCTTCAATTGCCTTCACATTTTTTCCTGCTCATATACCTGAGTTGTGTAGTTATACTTTAATATTAATGTATGTATTTGATGTTCCGCTCCTGATTTCTGCTTTGTCACTCTCTTGTCAGTTGTTATCACACGTATCTGTTTATCATTTCCTTCCTGAGTAGTGACTTGTTGCTTTCAGCTCAGCACTGCAGGTTTATGTCTCTGTCTCTGCATCGTTCGCTATAATAGACCTTTTTTTTTTTTACCCCCCTCACAATATTGTTGCCTCCATGTTTGTGTCCATCTTCAGTCAGAGCATGTATATTTTAACCTCCCTGTGATGGTAATTTCACTTACAAAAGACTCAATAGAGGAGAAAATGGAGAAAAGTTGCCACTAAAATCAAATGTATAAACCTGAAATAATAAATATAATTAGTACAATAAAAACATTTCTATAAAAACAATAAAAACTTGTATTAAATGAAAAAATATGTGGAAAAACATGCGACATTTATTTAAAATTATTTTTATTATTTAATTCTGTCATCCTGTCACTGGTGGACGCTGATTGGCTGTGTCTGTGACATCAGAGGCGGGCCTTAGTCAAAGGTATTCTTGGCCCAAAGTTACTGGTCGCGGAGTTTCTAGAAGTCTTCCCTGATTGGCTGCGCCGCCTGTTAATCAAAGGCTCAGGAAGGCGGGGCTGCACGGTCGAACGGGCTTTAAACTGAGGAGTGATCTGATTGGTCGGGCAGCCGTTTGTGGGCGGGGTCTGTGAGTTGTTTGGAAACCTGTGGATTCAGTTTAAAGAAACTGCGTCACTTTAACGGAATGAATCAGGGTGAGACCGGAAACGGGTGAAGCGGATTAAGAAAATAAAAGCTTCGAAATGTTTTTTGTCTCAGCATTTGAAGCTAAACGGTTCAAATCAAAGTTTTACTTAAATAAATACAAACAAATTTGTCTCAGAGAGAAAAAAACACTTGAAAATACAGCTGGTTTTGGAAAGTATTTTTATTTTTTCTTTCCTTTTTAAAATAGTGAGGGTATTTTGACATACAAACACTTTAATTATATGTCTTATTTTTGAAAAAGTAGAAAACAGAAACAGAAAACAATTGTAAAAGGGTTGGTGCAATAAGCTTCGGATTTAGCCTACACTTTTTCTGTCAGCAAAACCTGCTTTGGTTTGTCACTGCTTCAAAAATCATTGTTGGTTTTTTTGTGTATGTATTTGAGATGTATAAGTAGGAAAACGACCAAAAAAAAAAACCCTAGCAAAACATAGGCTGTGATAACTGAATAAACTAAAATAACTGTAAATAAATTTGATAATAAAATTATTATCACAATAAATACCAAGAGGAGTAATTAAAATAAAAAAATATACATAGCATTACAACTTAAGGGATATTTTTTCTTGTGTCGACAGAGATGTGGTAATGACTGCACCTATATCGGAAAAATTTAAGGCTTAAACTAATTTTATAGTTAAAAAATATCAAAATTAGTTGTTTAACATAAAAAAACTCTTTCCTGACCTCAAAAACAGTTACTGATAGAACAACAGACCCCTCACCACAGGTCTCATTATGTAATTTAGTAGCTGTTCTGGAGCTTTTGATCATATAACATGATCTTCCTCAGCAAATAAAGCAGGAGTTTGCACAAATAGTTACGTCCGTTTTTTTTTGTAAGACACAAGTTTATTTTAGTATTTAAAATTTTCTTATTATTTTTATTTTATTTTACTTTATTAATTTTTATTTATTTAACAAAAAAAGCTATTTCTTGACCTCAGAAACTGTATTTTTTTAGAATACACAAGTTTATTTTAGTTTTTAAAAGTTGATTATTATTTTTATTTTATTTTATTTTATTTTATTTGTGTAGAACCCATCACCTGAAACGAGTTAAGGCTTTATTTTGAAATTCAGTACCGGAAGCTGTAGTTCATTAATGTAGATATTTTGTTTCTAAAGTCATAGACAGCTGGAGCAGATGAATCACTCCACATTTTAAACCCTACGTTCAAACTCAAACTTCAAATGTTTTCTTCAGCCTTCATATAAACACATGAACTCTCTTTTTTATTTATTTCTGTAGTTTCTTCATTTTATTCTGAGTTTAATGTCTGATTTCTGATTTCTGTGTCTCTGTGACTCCGCCCACACATTCCTGTGTGTCTGGGCAGTGAGGAGGAGGAGGAGGAGGAAAGAAAAGGGAAGAGTAGCTGTAGAAAGCTGCCTGTGGACGCTGGACCGGAGAAGAGATGACAAACAACAACAACAACAACAACAACAATATTCACCTCCCATCTGCCTGCTGCAGCTCTCTGACATAACATACATTAATCCCTCACAGTCTGAACCAACCGGATCTTCCTCTGTTTGTTTCTCTTCTTCTTCTGCAACTTGTTGGGAACTTTTTGTTTTCTTTGCCGCAGTTGGATGTTTGGAGTTTCCAGTTTGACTACATTACAACTCTCAGCCGCATAAAGAAGAGCAAGAGGAGTGTGTGAGTGTGTCTGGAGGACATCATGGAGATCCTGGACAGTAGTGAACCGTTTCTACACTGGGACCGGAACCTGAGCGAGCTGTCTGAGGCTGGGGAGATCGACTGTGTGCTCTACACCAATGTAAGTCATCGATCAGGGATGGAGGGGAGAGGTGATCGATCAGGGCCTGGTGATTGGGGAGTTATCACCTTTATTTCACTTAAAGGAGGAGGAGGGGGAGGGCAGTGTGTCCAGTGTGTGTGTGTGTGTGTGTGTGTGTGTGTGTGTGTGAGTGTGAGAGAGAGTCAGAGTGTGTGTGCGTGGTACCCGGCTCTCCATTCACAACTTGAGCCTTGAGGTCCAGGATGCAAGTTAGACAGTTTTTCAGCCTCTTTAACCTATTTTGTCTTATTTTAGACACATTTTTGAGCAAAATGGTGACGAAGTATTCAAAATAACAGACACATAAAGTCCTAATTTAAACAGTAATGAGCACTGTGAAGGGATATATGAGAGGGGAAACCTGCATGAGCTCAGTTTACTCCAGGACTATAGTCGAGGGCTTGCCTGTTTCCATTTATCTATGATCAATTAAATGTCAAAAAAGCCTGTGAAAGTTCCTAGAGTCCAAGATTATTCCTTCAAATTGTTTATTTTGCTTAACTGCCAAATTGAAAACCCCAAAATGTTAAATGTAAGAGAGAAAAGTAGCACAAATTTACATTTAAAAAGCGTAACAGTAATTGAAATAAAGATGTGAACAATGGGTATGGATGCATCAGAGTGAAAAACCATCTGAACTGCTGCCACTAACAGTTATTATTCCCACTGTAAATGTCAGTTAAATGTCAAAAATAGTGGAAAATATTTGTTCAGTCTAACCGACTAGTCCCAAATCTCAAAATACTTCACAAATACACTGAGGAAAGTAGCAGATACTCACATGTGATGAGTGGGACATGGAGATTACTTGGCCTTTTTGCATAATATTAATTGAAATAAAGATGTGAACAATAGGTATGGATACATCAGAGTGAAAACCCAACTGAACTCACTTATAGGGCTGCCACTAATATTTTTTCCCACTTATCTTAATTTAAATGTCAGTTAAATGTCAAAAATAGTGAAAAATGGCTATTGAAAGCCTTGACAAGTCCAAAACCTAAAGATTTTCGATTAAGTTAAATTTTTTTAAACGTAACACGAAGAAAAGAAGCACAAACTCACATGTGAGATGCTTATAATGGAAAATAATTGTCTTTTTGCATAACTTTAAATCAAATAAAGATGTGGACAGTGGATACATCAGAGTCCAAACCCACCTGAACTGACTCTAGGACTGCAACTAACAGTTATATTTTCCATTAATTGAGTGCCATAAATGTCAATTAAATGCCAAAAGTAGTGAAAATGGCCATTTACGGTTCCCAGGATCCGAGGTCCAAACCCCCAAAATATTCAATTTCATTTACTTTTTGATCATATAAAATTGAGAGAAGTAGCCGATACTCAAATGTGATGAGCAGGAAATTGAGGACATTTGGCCTTTTTGCACAAATTAATTGGCATAATGATGCAAACAATGGTTATGGATACAAACGAGTGAAACTTGCAACTAACTAACTAACTAATTGATTTTAAATGTCAATTAAATGTCAGAAATAATGAAAAATGTTCATTGAAAGTTCCCAGGATCCAAGATGATTTCTTAAAGCTGTTTTGCTGACCCCCCAGATATTTGATTTAATTGACATTTTGATCTTGTAAAATGGAGAAAAGTAGCAGATACTCACATGTAAGAAGCAGGAAATGGGAAATAGTTGGTGTCTATGCAAAAACTAATTGAAATAATCACGTGGACAATGGGTATGAAGACATCAGAGTCAAAACCCACCTGAACTCACTTTCGGACTGCAACTAATCCACTAATCAATTACTTTAAATGTCAGAAATAGTGAAAAATGCCCATTGAAAGCTCTAGGAGTCACAGGTAATGTCATCAAATGGTTCATTTTTCTTCATCTAAGCCTCCAAAACCCAAATAAATTCAGTTTAATTTCGTCATTTTTTTTATTTGAAGCAAAGAAAAGTAGCACTAACTCATATTTGATAAGCTGGAAATGGAGAAAATTTGGCCTTTGTGCTTCTTATATGACGAAAAAAGTTTTATTTTTATAATTATTTTTCAGTTAATTGACTAATTGTTTCAGCACGAGTTCAGGACAAAAGAAAACAACTTGCTCTTGAGGATGTGGAACTTGGAAATAAGCGTATTAATGAGCATTCATTCGTGTTTTTATTGGTGATTGTTGGTGTTTACACATGAGCTTATCACTCTGAAAAATACCTCATTCGACACTTTCTGTCTGGACCTTTTATAGCAAAACAAAAGTCATA